CTTGGGTATCCTTATTGAGGAAACGTTTCGCCACACAGTGGCGAAATCAGTCCATACAAAGGAGAATCTTGAAGAACAGGAGGAGAATGAGGTAATCAGTCCCTCAACCTTGAGTCGATGTGGTCAGTCCATCAATCTTGACTGACCACATCGACTCAAGGTTGAGGGACTGATTACCTCATTCTCCTCCTGTTCTTCAAGATTCTTCTTTGTATGGACTGATTTCGCCACTGTGTGGCGAAACGTTTCCTCAATAAGGATACCCAAGAGTTGCACATGTGTCTAATTTATCAAACTTAATCATGTCACTCGTAATCCCTTCATCAAGGTCATTAATGTAAATTATGAACAAGAGAGGGCCTAAAACTGATCCTTGTGGAACGCCACTAGTGACTAATCCCCATTCAGATTTCACTCCATTAATGGTAACTCTCTGCTTTCTATTGGTAAGCCATGCCTCAATCCATGCTAGAACTTTACCTCCTATACCATGAGCTGCCACTTTTCTTAAGAGTCTCTTGTGAGGTACTCTATCGAAGGCTTTACTAAAATCCAAATAAACAATATCATATTCCTTATCACTGTCAACTGCCTCAAACGTTGACAGTTCCCCTTCTAGAATCATCCTTCAACACTCCTATTCTCTGTTACTCTGTTACTTCCTTCATTCCCATTTCCACCATCTACTCAAAACTGAATATGACATGATTGCTGGCGCCTAGTGATTTTCCTAAAGTACTATTACACTTTGTGTAATATCCACGTAGAGTCTTGATTGCTAAGTTCCTACCATTGTTCCTGTTGCCTTCACATGTTATCTCAGAATTTTGTTTTTACTGCTTTTGTAAGTTTCTGGTCATCCATAGGAGAAGTTCAGTTTTCACAGTGAATCTCCATGCCTTCAATACGTGTATCATTGTCCTCTCTTAACCCTTCTCTTACCGTATTACTTTGGCTCTCTGAACATTGTAACTCGTGCAGTATAATCCATAAAATCTCGTGTTTCTAGGTTCACCAGTTCTTCAAATTTCAGTAGTTTTTGACTATCAGTGTTACTTCTTTGTAGTTCCTTTATTTTCTTAGTATTTTGTGGATCTCTTGGGAAAATTGCAGTTATTATTTCTGAGGAATGTCTCTTAATAGCTACAATAATGGGGAGTCTCTCCTACTCATGTCTCATTTTATCCTTTTCATTTCTTCAAATTTGATAGTGACTCATCTTTATTTGTGTGTTCATTATTCTATCTCTTACCTTTCTATGAGCAAGATGTTTTATTAGTTTCCTTTTGGAAATACTGATCAAAGATTTTCTGTGGAATCTTGATAATTTCATTAGCTCTTTCCCTGCGCCGATATACCCCTTTCCGAGACAAGTAGTCTGTTTCCTATTTATTCCTCTGCTGCTTCCTTTTCTTTTCACATGTTTCCCTGTCTGCTTTTCTTCATCTGTCCTGTCTTACTTGACAGACTTTGTAGACTCAGCGAGATACGCATCAGATTTCATTTTCTTTCCGTAATTAGGTTCATTGTTTCTGGCAATGTAAACAGAATTTGCGATGGCCTTGTCTTTCTTTACATGTTCCTTCCCGAGAAAGCCACAGAGTGAATTTTGTTTTTGTTTGTTTTATCCTTTTCTTTTAGCTCACCTATTTATGGTTGCAGAGGAAGTCTCGGCTTCTTGCTATGCAGCATAACTAGCCACTATTTGATTCACTGTTCCCTGGCATCGTGAGAGTTAACATGTCAATTCCTAAAGCTGTGTATATTGTATATCCTGCCTCTGCTATTTCGTTGTTTTGGTCGATTGACTTCATGACATCTCTGAGCCTAAAGAAATTCTTTGACATCTCTGTGAATCGTCGCTTGGCTGTCATGCAGACTAATGATCATAACATTGGCTGCTTGGCTAATGTATTACCTTGGATTACTGAAATCTTACCCTTAATTGCAGGGCATGAGCTAGAAATTTTATATCTGAGCAAAAGTGATGGGTGTGTATATGATACGAGACACTCTTGTCAAAGAGAAGCCTAAATATATGAAGCATCTAACACGAAATGTTTCAGAGGATTACCTCAAAGAATGCCCAGTAGCACCGTAGCAGCATCCAAAATCCTCTTCCCAGCACCTCAGTTCCAGACATCACAGTTGATGACCCAGATGTGTGGCAAGATAACCCAGATGACCCAAATGTGTGGCATGATAATCCGGATGATCCAGATGTGTGGGATGATAATCCAGATGACCCAGATGTGTGACAAGATAACCCAGATGACCCAGATGTGTGGCAAGATAACCCAGATGACCCAGATGTGTGACAAGATAACTCAGATGACCCAGATGTGTGACAAGATAACCCAGATGACCCAAATGTGTGGCAAGATAATCCAGATGACTCAAATGTGTGGCAAGATAACCCAGATGACTGAGATGTGTGGCAAGATACCCCAGATGTAGACCTTCAAGATATTACTCAACATCAGTTTATATTGCATATAAAAACGTAAATAAATTTTGGAAGTGGATTTACAGAAATACAGAACAGTGCATGCATTATTTTGCCTTTTTATACCCTAAGATTCGCTGGTTCGGAAAATCTGTTACTCAGGCAAGTGTCTGGACCCCCACATGCCGGAATAGTTAGGTTAATCTTGTGGGTTTAGCGCATAGTTATGACTGTAGTAGAAATAGTGGGGTTCAACATGTACTTATCACCTGTATCAGAAATATGAAAATGCTTTGCTATAAGCTAGTTATTCCGTTTCTTCTATAATAACAACTTTTTCTTAAGAATTAGCATTGCTTGGTAGTTACTGAATCAGTTTTCGTTTCCTCTTTACTGTTTTGGTGCTCTATGGACATTGTAGGTTTAGATTATTTCTTTTGGTTCTCTGGTAATAAGTCTTAAGGCTGTCAGATATAGAATTATAAAGGACTGACAGGTTTGTATGCAGTTTGGCTGAACTTGAGTAAGATACAAACATGGTACGACAATAAAATGCAGAATATGATTTTGTAATATTTCTTCATTGTTTATGACTGTCAATAAAGGTATGTATGATTTAGTCACTGTTAATTAGTTAAAATTATGGGGATATATATTAAATAAACTTTAAAATTGCCCCCAAAATGGTATTTTTTAAATATTACAAGAAATATTTCAATATTTCTACCTAATAATGTAATTATAATTATTTATGCTTAATAAAAACTCTTTAAAATGAAATTTTACATATTTGGTAAATTGTTGTAGTAACAATCACTTATTAGTTATAATTCCAAAACTGAAATACTCCAAATGTGCCGAAAATCTAGGAATGTTTACAAAGATGGCGTCCTAGAAGGCATGTAACTGCGAATGATTAAACCAAGTAAAAATCTTTGTCAATTAGTCACTCTGTTTAGTTGTAATATCCAGGGGTGCTTGATTTTTTTACAAGAATTATCCTGCAGTTCTCACCAACCTATGGTTTTTTCATCTATATTTCCCTCCATGTTATACAGTATGTAATGGCTATGAATTTGATAAGTATATCAATCTCAGTTTTATTGAAAATATTGGTCTCATTCTAAATTATACCGTATTATACTGTAGCTGAACTTTAAGAATAGTTAAAAGAATAACTGGGATTACTTGCATAATTGAATCTTAAAAATATGGTTAAAGAAGAAAGTAAGTTTGAGTCTATTGTATAAGTAAACAAATCATCAACAGTTTCGTTTTGATTTAGTAGTTTGTTATTGTTCACACGAACAACCACGTCTTCCTAGGATTGAACACTACAGCAGATCTTGTCGATTAATACATTCATGTTAGTCAGGCAGCAAAAACATTGCTTTCAGTTTATTCCTGGTATTTGTTTTATATAAGATACTTTTACTGAATGTCCTTTTGCATGCCCACATGAGTGACATAAAAGATGGAGAGAAAGAGCAAAGTTTGCTCCATCAGTAATATATCATTGTCATAGCAGTAATTCATCCCAGAAACTGTTGTTATGCTTTAAGCTCCTGGAGAACGAAACGTTGACACAATAGACTGTCTCATTAGTTGCACATGTGTCCTTGTGCCTAACATATTTATATCTATAATTTGCTATTTCACAAATAATCTATTTTTCATACGTAATTATTTTACTATTTTCTTTGCAATCTATTTTTAATATGAACAGTTTTAAATATATAAATTCAAAATCGTGAAAAATGCTGATGCATTTACGTAACCAATTCAGTAATTACTTTGTTTGGCAGCATGTCAGCAGCAGGTCTGACAGATATCATTCCTGTACTTTATCGAATTCAGATATTTTTTCGTTTGGATCAGGACGGCAGCAGACCAAACAAATGCTTCTGAAACTACTTTATGAAATTTTCAAAAGCCATTCACATTTTCAATGCTTATTTAAAAATAATATTTTCTAAATATAAAACCAAAAATTATCGCATAAACCGTTAGATAATAGCTGAAGGTATCGCATACCGTGCCAAAGGCAAAATTATCGTGCCATGCATGATAATTATCGTTTGAATGGCAACATGAACCATGTGCTCCATATATATATATATATATATATATATATATATATATATATATATATATATATATATATATATATATATATATATATATATATAATATATATATATATAGCAATAAGATCACAGTAAACAGGTGATTTCAAAATATGCAAAACAACCACTCTGAAAGAATAGAGAAATTCCAAGCGCTTTCGTGACTACTCACATTATCAAGGAACTATGATAATGTGAGTAGTCACGAAAGCGCTTGGAATTTCTCTTTTCTTTCAGAGTGGTTGTTTTGCATATATATATATATATATATATATATAATATATATATATATATATATATATATATATATATATATATATATATATATATATATATATAGGACTTGAGTAATGGAGATGGGAAGTACGGTGCCTGCACTCTGAAGGAGGGGTGTTAATGTTGCAGTTTACCAGATAAAGGGGGTAGGTGTGGTGAGTACTGGCACCAGATGCTGTAAATCATGGATGACATCTTCCACTGGTGCCGTGAAGGCAACACTGCAACACTGTACAGGTGCGATTATGGCTCGATGACACTGAACATGACATGAATCAAGGAGATAACCATGGCTTCTCATTGTTACACTGGGCTTGCAAGGAGGGACATTTTGGTATTGTGGAGATGCTGATTACTAGGGGTGCACGCATCAATGCCACAAATCTAGGAGATGACATCCCTCTCCATTTGGCCGCAGCTCATGGTCACCGAGATATTGTTGGCTATCTCCTTCGGTACAAAGCAGATGTCAACTTCATTAATGAACATGGTAACACGCCTCTCCACTATGCATGTTTCTGGGGCTTTGAATTGATTGCAGAGGACCTAGTGCAAGCTGGAGCGCCTGTTTCCATTGCTAACAAATATGGGGAAGTTACCTTTGACAAGTGCCGTAGAGTTCTGGCTAAGCAGCTCCACACAATGGCTGTAGACAGTGGTCAGAATCTGGAAAAAGTGCCATTCAAGGATCAAAGTTGGCTTGCCCTTAAGACTCGCAGTCGTGATGCAACTCTTTCTCGACACAAGGGCATTAACATCACCGAGTTAGCTCTTCATACAAAGATAGCTGTGAGTCCTTCAGGAGTGCTGTGACGTGGCAAATGGCAAGGCAATGAGATTGTTGCCAAGATACTGGCTCTCAGAGACTGCTCTCCTAGAGTGTGTAGAGATTTTAATGACGAGTTTCCACGATTGAGAATTTTCTCGCATCCAAATGTTCTTCCTGTTGTTGGATGCTGTAACCATCCACCAAATCTGGTGGTGATCACTCAGTACCTGCCATATGGATCCCTCTTCACACTACTCCACCAAGATAGTGGTATAGCGGTTGACACTGCTCAGGCTCTCAAGTTTGCCCTTGACATTGCTCGTGGAATGTACTTCATCCACTCACTGGAGAAGCTGGTTCCTAATTTGTATTTGTCGTCCAAACATGTTATGATTGATGATGATCTCACAGCTCGAATCAGCATGGCAGATGCCAAGCTTTCATTCCAGGAGCGGGGCAAACTGTATTCCCCACAGTGGTTCTCCCCAGAAGCTCTTCAGAAGAAACCTAAAGAGCTCAATGTGAAAGCAGCAGACATGTGGAGCTTTGCCGTCACGTTATGGGAGATGGCTACACGTGAAGTTCCCTTTGCTGATCTCACACAAATGGAGGCTGACATGAAGATTGCACTGGAGGGTCTTCGTGTCAGTGTTCCGCCAGGAATCTCTCCTCATATATCAAATCTGGTTAGTACCTGCATGAATGAGGACCCAGGCAAGCTACCATCCTTTGATATGATTCTCCCAATTCTGGAAAAGATGTGTTCACAGTAGAGTACTCTAGGATGGAGGATTACTAAGGTAATGACACACTTCATGTATTGTTTTGAAAAATATGAAGTATTGTGCAAAGGACATTTAAATTTATTTTTAATAAATTTATTTAGGGTACACTTAACTATATGCATATTCAAATTAACGAATAATTGAACACTGGTGCACTTTTTATGCCTTTAAATCTGATGTATAATTGTAGTCAAAATAATATTTATGCCTCTTTTGTTTTTTAATGCTACAAATAACTAATGTACCATATCCATGCAAATCAGAACTTAACAGTGCAATATAAATCATTAAAATGTATATGAATATTTTAATAATCTAAATTTTGCCTTAGAAAGGGAATTAAATGCAAAGGAAGCAGGCTATATCAAAATGCTTTCTTTTTTCCTAATGTTACTCCCGAGTGTTTTAATACTTTTATGTATTTTTTCTCGTGTGATGATATAACTAAAAGTAACGAAATATGAAGATTTATCTTACATAACACTGATCTAAAAATTTATTGATGGGATGTTAGCTAAACGTAGTGAATATTAGTCTGGGAATTTATTTTGCTTAGACAGAACTATTAATAATTAGCATAGGTTTAAATTGAAAAGCCATAATAAGATTTGAGAATTAATTAAAAAGTTAAACTAGTGTGTATTAAACTAATGCTAGGCCTGTATTGTCTGAATAACATGTATTTAACTTTGCATTAGTTACTCTCTATAAAGGGAGGTCTAAGGACTGATGACCTGTAATTGTGCCAAGTAGTTACGTTTATTTTTGTGAAGGTAATTTTTAAATTTCTCAGATAGTGCAATGTATTATAGGTACAGTCTAGTAATGTAGGTTGGTTCTTATGCCCTCTTGTTGCTGTGTATAACAAGAACATTTGAAATTGGTAAGAGATATAGGTTAGATTAGTTTTTTACAAGCGTAGCATTCAACCATGAAAATAATAATATTCTTTAATATAGTGAACTTGGTCTGCATTCACATATAAAGTATTATCCATATTTTTTTATTATTTATTATCACACTGGCCGATTCCCACCAAGGCAGGGTGGCCCGAAAAAGAAAAACTTTCACCATCATTCACTCCATCACTGTCTTGCCAGAAGGGTGCTTTACACTACAGTTTTTAAACTGCAACATTTACACCCCTCCTTCAGAGTGCAGGCACTGTACCTCCCATCTCCAGGACTCAAGTCCGGCCTGCCGGTTTCCCTGAACCTCTTCATAAATGTTACTTTGCTCACACTCCAACAGCACGTCACGTCAAGTATTAAAAACCATTTGTCTCCATTCACTCCTATCAAACACGCTCACGCATGCCTGCTGGAAGTCCAAGCCCCTCGCACACAAAACCTCCTTTACCCCCTCCCTCCAACCTTTCCTAGGCCGACCCCTACCCCGCCTTCCTTCCAATACAGACTGATACACTCTTGAAGTCATTCTGTTTCGCTCCATTCTCTCTACATGTCCGAACCACCTCAACAACCCTTCCTCAGCCCTCTGGACAACAGTTTTGGTAATCCCGCACCTCCTCCTAACTTCCAAACTACGAATTCTCTGCATTATATTCACACCACACATTGCCCTCAGACATGACATCTCCACTGCCTCCAGCCTTCTCCTCGCTGCAACATTCATCACCCATGATTCACACCCATATAAGAGCGTTGGTAAAACTATACTCTCATACATTCCCCTCTTTGCCTCCAAGGACAAAGTTCTTTGTCTCCACAGACTCCTAAGTGCACCACTCACCCTTTTTCCCTCATCAATTCTATGATTCACTTCATCTTTCATAGACCCATCCGCTGACACGTCCACTCCCAAATATCTGAATACATTCACCTCCTCCATACTCTCTCCCTCCAACCTGATATCCAATCTTTCATCACCTAATCTTTTTGTTATCCTTATATATATATATATATATATATATATATATATATATATATATATATATATATATATATATATATATATATATATATATATATATATATATATATATGTCGTGCAGAATATGTAAAACTGGTCAATTAGCAAGAAACCATTTAAAATTAAGACCTTTCGAAAATTTTCTCTTACACGTTTAAAGATATATGCTTTTCATTAATGTTAATGTAAAAAAAATTAATTTTGCACCAAAAGAATCTTAGAAAACTTACCTAACCTTATTATAACAAGAACAATTTATTTTAGCCTAACACAACTAAATATATTTTAAATACGTTTACAATAATTTAATTCTAAACAAACACAATCAAATATATATTTTTTTGTTAGGTTCAGAATGATTTTGACGAAATTATTGTATACACAAATTTTCACTTCTTCTCCTATATGGCAAGATGAGCGTTGCTATTTAAGCCAAGATCGCAAGTTCTGCCTATTCGGCACGACATATATATATATATATATATATATATATATATATATATATATATATATATATATATATATATATATATATATATATATATATATATTATTGTACCTATGTAACAAGTGGTATTGATTAATAATAACACTGCATTAGCCAAGGAGTCGAACCCATGCTGTTTTGGCCCGCCTCATGGTGAGAGAAAACGCATGACGTTTTAGACAACTAGACCACTAAAGCGTCATGCGTTTTCTTTCACCATGAGGCAGGCAAAAACAGCATGGGTTCGACTCCTTGGCTAGTGCAGTGTTATTATTAATCAATACCACTTGTTACGTAGGTACAATAATATATATATATATATATATATATATATATATATATATATATATATATATATATATATATATATATATATATATATACTCCTATCAAACACGCTCACGCATGCCTGCTGGAAGTCCGAGGGGCTTGGACTTCCAGCAGGCATGCGTGAGCGTGTTTGATAGGAGTGAATGGAGACAAATGGCTTTTAATACTTGACGTGCTGTTGGAGTGTGAGCAAAGTAACATTTATGAAGGGGTTCAGGGAAACCGGCAGGCCGGACTTGAGTCCTGGAGATGGGAAGTCCAGTGCCTGCACTCTGAAGGACGGGTGTTAATGTTGCAGTTTAAAAACTGTAGTGTAAAGCACCCTTCTGGCAAGACAGTGATGGAGTGAATGATGGTGAAAGTTTTTCTTTCTCGGGCCACCCTGCCTTGGTGGGAATCGGCCAGTGTGATAATAAAATAAAAATATAAAATATATATATACCGAAATGTGGCAGGCCAGGACTCGGCCCTACGAACCTTGTACCGCCTCCAGAGACAGCACAACGTACGCATCACCTTACCTTTGCACCACCGATCCTATAAGAATCACGCATGCAGCTGAGCTACACGTTTTTCTCTGTGATCCGAGGACTCTAGTGGCAGAGGTATCTCAAGGATTAATTTCATCCACCTCCTGTTTGAATACGCGCCTCAACAAGCAGTCTATATAGTAATGAAATCACGAAGCAAGTGATTTTAAATCATTTACCAAATTGCGGCAGGCTAGGACTCGACATTACGAACCTCGTACTGCCTCCGTAGACAGGACAATTTACGCATCACCTTACCTCTGCACCATCAATGCATACATTGTGCTGTCTCTGGAGGCAGTACGAGGTTCGTATGGTCGAGTCCTGGCCTGCCGCAATTTAGTAAATGATTTAAAATCACTTGTTTCGTGTTTTCATTACTATATATATATATATATATATATATATATATATATATATATATATATATATATATATATATATATATATATATATATATATATATATATATGTATTTATATATATATATATATATATATATATATATATATATATATATATATATATATATATATATATATATATATATATATATATATATGTATATATATATATGCAGGACAGGCCACGGGTGGGGGTGGAAATCTTTAGGTTAAGTACTTTCACACTTCCAAGTGCGTCATCAGGAGCTGTGCAATGTTGCAAGGGAGCAACAAAAGCAGGGAGAGAGGTCTCAGAGTAGCATAGGTGTCACCGGCCACGGTTTCCCTTAGACTGCGGTTAGTGGTCAGTACCACTCCCACTCTACCACCTTACCCCTACTCCCCATATGGGGTAGGAGGGTTTCTGAGATGTCCAGTATGAAATTATAAGATATAAAAAGCCATCCCAGCTTTCCCTGTTTGTTTTTTAATTAAATTTAAATCTTGTATAATCAGTTGCTTTGAGACAGTTATATGACTATTAATAACTACTTCTGCTATTGTCTCCACCATTTCTTTCCAGTTGCTGTATTCTTGATGGATACTCCAGCCCGGAGTGGCTTACGGTGTAACTGACTCCTTTTATTCATCACGATTCCTCAAATCCCAACCAATTTCCTATTAATAATGGTACTCCTCTTCCTCCTCTAATACCCTCTACGCTGCCTCAGAACTGGGCATAGTACTGTGAAAATTATATCTGTCATTATCTCCATGAGTTTTATCTCTAAGTATACTGTTGTTATTCTTTGACTTGCACCTGCTATACACCATGTTATTTCATCGTCATTGGATTACCTGCTTTCGGTTTCCTTTATCTTAATGTGATGCAGTTCCGGGTGTCGGGTTTTTGATTCATTTCCAAGGGAAGAGGAATAATGGGACAGGTTTATGTGAAGGATAGCTGAAAGGAGGTGTGTGTGTGTGTGTGTGTGTGTGTGTGTGTGTGTGTGTGTGTGTGTGTGTGTGTGTGTGTGTGTTAGTCCTCGTCAGTATGTACTCAGCTATGTGATGTTGCAGAGGCCGCCTGATAGCACTTGCTCCTTCCTCATGTTACTGTGGGCCACATTGTTCCTGTTCCTGAAACTATCTTTATATATATACAGTCTGCATACATAGCTTCTTCCTATTAATCATTCTATTTCCCTGTCAACACCAGACTGGAGGAATACTGCCCAATATCCCAGTTGCTCAGCTGTGTCTTTAACTTTAGGTTGTGCCCCCCCCCCCGATTACCAGTCTAAATTCTCTTATATCACTCTTGTCTATCAGTTCCTCTGAGTATTTTGTATGTTATCATGTCTCTACAGATTCTTCTGTCGTTCTGTGTTAGATTCATCTTGTTAATTAAGCTTCTCTTAATGGTTTAGTTCTGTAATTATTATCGTTGACTG